TCAAGGGGAATATGTTGGGTACCACATAGTGGCAGTGGGTGGGACCAGAACCAAAAGTATTGCAGTATTTGCAGGATGGCATCTCTTTCTCACCCCATTTCTCTCTGGCACCTACAAATATGACAGGGAAAAGAGTGATGCCCCCAGAGATGGACCAGAGGGCAAAGCTGGTCCTACTGTTTCTGAAGTGCTGCATAAAATTAGGCAGGGGACATGTGCAGCCTTAGAGCCACATATTGTGTGAGTGAAATGTGCCCTGGTGGAATTGGTTGTTAATTTATTAACCTCCTTAAGCTTTATAGTTCAATATCCCCATATAGTTTTTCATAGACAACAGGTGCTTTTGCTGATATTCTAGGCAGTTCCTCTATGGCCATGCAGTGAAAGCAAAAAAAGAAAGCAGCTACAGGATGTGATGAATTTTATAATTCAACAGGGAAATGTATCTCCTATAACGTGTTCATGGTTATACAGAAGAGATTGTCTTATCACCAGCAACATACCACTGATGGAATTGGATGATTTCTGTGATCAAAGTTGTTTTAAAAACTAAAATAGAATGAAGAGAGGATGGCTACATTTATTCCTGGAATAGAGAAACATGTCACTTGGTTAACTGAGGCCGGTTTTTTATTATTAAGATTCAGTGGAAAGGCAATCTACAACACGTACTATAGACCGTGCAGAAACGCTATATAATGCAGAAGCTGCCTTGTGACCTTTCCTCAGCCTACGGGCGTTTGAACCTGACCCATTGGTTGCACCTTTCCAGGTGTTGAGCAAAGCATTCCTGATTAGGGATGGGGCCAGCCACCTCTTTTCCGCATAAGGTCCCTAGCGGGTTGACATGTCATGACATAACTTTCAGGGGCATTTCTAGTCACTTGGAACAGGTCTTACTGGTGGTGGTGGTGGCTGATAACATAATAATGTGAAATTTATTTTAAAAGGCAGTCCTCAGACAGTGGCGGAGGAAGCCACTCAGGCACCTGCCTCCTCCCCCTCCCCCCGAGTCTGCCTGCCTCCTCCCACTCAGCCGCCCTACAGCTGGGGAGTGGAGACAGTGGGAGGACCATTTGGGCAGCACAGAGCCTGCCCATGCCCTAGCCACTGCATCTCTTCCAGGAGAGACACGTGGCTCTAGAGTGCTGCAGGCCCCGCGGTGCCGCCTGGCATTTTGTCACCCCCCCTCAGTGACACACCTACCGCACCCCCTTCCTCCGCCCCTGCCCTCAGATCACCTCATAACCATGTCTAATAACATGTAAGTAGTAATTTTTTAAAGTAAGAATGTCATGTAGATTTTAAAAAATAATAATAACGAGGAAGCACACCAGAACAAGTTATTTAAAATAAATTTATACAAAGGAGACATAGACCATCTGTCTTCCTGCCTCACTATACACCGCCCCCCCCCCGTCCCTTGGTGTGTGGGTCAGTCTAACTCCAAAGGGGCTCATTTCCACACCCAGATCCCAAAGCCATGAGTAGCAGTTTGACAGCAGGGATGGGGAGCCCATGTTCGCCCCCCAGATGTTGAACAACAGCTTCCTGTTCTAGGCTGCCCTGGTTCTGCTTACATGGCTTTTGCATTCCTACTTGCTCTCTAGGGTCAAAAGAGCTGAGCCAATGGCAGAATGGCTCCTTGAGCTTACTGTGACATTGCAGCAGTTCATCCAGTAACTGCCTGAGGCTATACATCCCCCATCCCATAGTGCAGCTACCACCATCACCAGTAAACATTATTTTTAATAAAGCACCACTAAGAAAGAGGCAGGTGGTTACTGATTCTTTGTCAGCTGTTAGCAGTCTAGATCCCATTGGACATGTTTTCATCTGGCATATCAGCCAATCCATTTACCCTACTGACATGAACAAGGTCAGATTCTAGGAAACATCTCCCTTGCAACTCTTTGCAACATCCTTTGCCATAGTTACTGCAAAAATCAAACATATATTTCAAAACTTTGCGAAATGTGCATTGCATCGATTCTGAACCGCCACCCCCCCCCACCCCCTCGGCTGACAAGCCAGCTAATGAAATCTGATTAGACACATAAAGAATGGGAGTAACAAGGAACATTCCATATAATTATGCTGTTTCAGACATCTTTTACTTATAAAACAAATTTCCTTCAGAAGTGTCCTTTTAGACAACCCACCAAGAGGCTTGCCAGCTAACAGGATCACGAAAGCTGCCCAGGAAGAGCAACATATCCACACCAGTTAAAATGCCTTCAGCATTTTAATGCTGTTGAGTGATTCTGCTAAATAGAATGATGGGTGAATGACCATTCTTTACAAAGTCACTCAGCTACAGCTATGCCCTTGGCAAAAAAAAGAGAAAATATCGCAAACTTATGCAAACTGCAGGGACGGACTCTGTTGAACTACAGGAGTTAAAAGAAGGAGAAGGGGCTATCAGGATACAATAAAATGATGAAATCCACTTCAGCTGTTCATAGGTCTGACTATGCTCCTGTCATCAACAGCTGGAAAGTACTTGGAGAAAACCCCTTCTCTTCTCCACATTTTTCATTATTTGTGCTGTGACTATAAGCTGATTTAGAGGCCCACATTCAGACAGCAAAGGTGCAGAGAGAGACTTTCTTAGTGGTTCTCCACACAACAAGGACATAACCACAGAGTGATAAAATGCTTCAAACTGCCGATTCATCAGAATTCAAGCCTCTGCACTTTGGGGAAGTGTAGTCAGATCTCTCTTTGGGGGCTAGTCCTTCGGAACTGAGGATTAAGTCAGCAAAAAAGGAAGTCCTGACCAGCACTGAGAATTTTTTCCCTCACTCGCCTCATAATTAAGCTTGGACTTTCTGAGCTTTCTCAGAGAAAGCTGAGGGACTTTCCAAGGAAGCTTGTCTGGGGCAGCTCCCCTCCCCTTCCTTCCCACAAACTTACTGTCACAAAGTAGGAGTGTTCCTGTGCAGCGATTCAGCACATGCCTCATTTTATGGCCTGGCCACTTGTGTATATATAGTACCCACTGCCATTAAGAAGAGTGCGCCCCCCCCCAAAAAAAGAGAGTTTCCAAAGCTTTTAGCTCAAATGATTGAGCACTGTTAAGTTTTGGATGAAAGTGGGGGATTTATTGAAGGGTTGCATGTCTGATGGTGTAGAGTTTTGGTTTCTGGTGAGCCCATTACGAGTTGGGCATGAAATTTTGGAAGGTTTGGACTTGATTCATAATAGTTGATGAGACATAAAGTGCAGTTTGAAGGGGTTCAGTCCCCCGCATCCATATATCAATCTTTGTCCTCCCACAATATATTATTTTCTCTTACCATTCCACCCTCCTCCCTGGGATTTTGGACATTTACCAAGGCATTTGGGAGAGACATCTTATATGCTGATCTAGGAAATATATCTGCATCAAGAGAAAGTAACAAAAGATAGGGACATTTGAACAACTTAGTAACATGATATTATAGAATATTCTGTTCTGTATTGTAGGTATTTTTATTTGTTCACTTTTTTTTTTACTCACCCTGAGTCTTTGGGATGGCTCAGGCCATACATATATAGTAAATACACCTTCTCCAAGACCAGGGTGCCTAAATGGAAGTCGACAATCTATCTATCTTTCGATATCTATCCTACGCTAACAAAAGTAGCTGACAATCTTTCAGTATCAATCTGACATCAACGAAAGTATTTTCTGTTTGTCTGCTTGTCAGTTCTGCTGTATGAGTCAGAGACAAAATAACTTTTTATCCTGCTGATACTGTTGGCCATTTCACTTAACAGGTAAAACATGCACACACAAACATACACAATTTGAAACAAAATGTAACACCCATAATCAAAACAACCTTGCTTGCTTACCTAGCAGAATCACATAAGCCACAAAAATAAAATACAGTTTAGGCTACTGAGTTCAGCTTGGCATATTAGAGTGTGATTGGCTTAATGGGATGGCTGCAGCTCCAGACAGGAGTTACCTTATTAGGAAAAAAGCAATGAACAAATGTCTCATTTTAAGATTCCCAAGGAAATCCCATGAGGCCTTTGCTATCAGCCTCCATTTCCCTGTTATCCCAGCTTCAGCAGAGTGTTAGAAGAGTCATGCCATGTGAAGAGAAAATATCTTTCAAACACAACTTACCCTAATTCCATTCCTGGAATCTTGGGTGGAAATCTTATATGACATGACTGAAACCTCAGGTGGCTTTGTTTGCTACTATTGGACTGGCCTGCCAGAACTGATCATCCCTCCCTTTGTACTCTTTGGTGAGATCAACACCTTTCAATTAAAGCATATTTAATACACATGACTTTCCCCAATGGACCCAGGGAACTGTAGCTCTCCCCTTACACAGCTACTATTCCCAGGGATTGTACCTTTAACAAACTACAGTTCCCAGGATTCCTTGGCGGAAGCCATCTGCTTTCAATGTGCTTTGAATGTATGGTGTGGGTGTGACCATATGCATTACCGATGCATATGGCAGGAGGAGGAACAACCATTATATTATAATCATCGTTATGATTATTTCAATACTCATTCACCTGCCTCTGTAAGAAGGGTATCCCAGCCATTTTAAAGGAGAAAAGAAAAGCACTGTTTTCTAAAAATGATGAGGCCCTAAATAAACTAAATCCATCAGTACATCAGTACCGGGTACACTATCTAAAGGACAAGATTTTTGCATTAAGCAACTTTAATTCCATCATCTGGGAATGCTAATTTGTAGAACTCTTCCATTCTTCGCTCAGTCTCAGTGTCGGAGATGGCATTTCTTCTGCATTGCTCCACTAACAACTGCACTTCCTTTGCCAAAAAGGAAAAAAAAAGGGCTCAGCACTTTTCCACCTGCCCAGTCATATAAATCAGCTGTGTGTGAGGCCCTAGACAGGTGAATTTGTCAAGCCTTAATATAGTCTTGCTACAAGTGAGCTGCTATTTATGGTGAATATTTTCTACTTGGGTTACAAACCAGAGTTTCCCTCTTCCCCGCTCTGCCCTCTCCTTCTGTTTTGTTTACCTTGCACATTTGGAAATTCTTGTCAGCGGCTCCCTGTCTTTGTTCAACATCCGCTTTCTTGTGAAGGTAGTTCGCCTGTGACAGGTGAGGCTCTTAACCTGCTTAGCTTCATCTCCGCTCCCCAGAGAACCTGTCCGTCTCTATCTTCCAGGTTCATGGTCTTGCCTCTCAGCCGCATCGACATGTTCCTGGGACATTAACCTGCAGGCCTAAAAAACTTCAAAAATCATTCCAACCGGAGAAGCACTTATACAAAATGTGTTTGATAGCTGTGCTTACCTTTCCTGCAGGCTTGCTATATGCCAGGCCTTCATAAGCTGCACTCTCCATTTCTGTCACTCATGTCATCTGCTCAGTGAAATCTAAAAGATCGTTGAACAATGTGTTGAACTATTTCCCTTTTTTATTTGTCTTTTCTCCCCCCCCCCCCCACCACCACAACCAGCTCTTAAAAGAAGCACACGGCAAAGGGCTGCTATCAAGCAGGATGATACACTGGGAATGAAGAAAAGCATCTACGAAGAAAAACACTGAAAACTTCCCAGTAAAAACTATGAAGATATCACAAAGTGACATGACTTCTGTGCCTCTCAGTAAGAAAAGAGGCCCGCCTTTCTTTCCAGAGGGATGAAAAAAGGAAGTACATGGAATGTTCAGGAAGATAACTTTCAAATTCCACATCTCAGTAGTAGATTTTTCACTAGAATTTATTATAGAAGCTGGAAGGAAGGTGTGAAACAATGACCCCACAGCCCATAAACTTCTAGGTATATTTTGCTAGGGAAATAAATTATTCTTTGGTGATTTAACATATCTCTGGTTTGTAATTACTACTCAGTCCAATACCTTTCTGAACGTTTGACCTGACAGGCCCCATTTATTCATTTAAGAAGAGATTTACTTACTGAAGTTGCTGGAGGGAAGCTGTGCATAAGCCTGTATTGTGGGTGTCTGTGTGTCTCTAGATATATATGGTTGGGTTTTGTCTTCCTACCATAGCCAGATTAGACACAATGATATCAATGTGACTTCAAATAATCAGGACAAGTTCAAAAGATTTCAGTCAGCCCACTTGGTAAGTATTACTAAGTTTGGATCCAACTGATAATTTATACTTGGGGTGAGGGAACAAATTTTGAAGGCCAGCTCCAGACTTTTGCCCACCATCCAAGTGAGAGGCAAAAGAGCTGTCCTCCTCTCTTTGACACTGAGAGAGCGGCAAAAGGGAAGGATGGAAGATCATGTTAGAATTACGCAGTGTATTTTACCATCTCTGTCATCAATATGCTGTTCTTCACATCAATCATGGTGGACCAAACTATCTCAGACTTGATACACTCGCTGCCTCCTGGATACCACCATAGATGTTTCTACATATATGAGAACTGTAAGGGTTTAAGGCATCTTTGCCCTGTTCATATTTAGATCTCAAATCCTGATAGCAAACCATTTCAGGTAAATAAGGTCTTTCCCTTGGTTTGGCACACACTTCTACACCTTCACACTTAGCTGGGCCCAAGGTGCATTTGTGGAAAGCCAGATTGTTTTAGTTCACATAATAAGCGAACTCACTGCTCTACCTGCATGTGTGGGACAATTGCCAGGAGACTTCCGAACATTTCAATCAGAGGCATGGGTTATAAAGCTGTCAGTTTCCTTGTAGGTTAATTTGCCTCTCTCTTGGTCCTATCATTCTGCTCATTTACAAAGAAACCAGACCAGTTCTTTTGGGGGTATACTTATACTGATTTCAGTGTGAAGGCTTTCTTTCCCACTTTTCCTTGCCTTTCTTTTTGGGTGGGTGCAGCAGAGGAATTAAACAGAGCTTTAAAACTGAGATTTGCAATTTCATCATCACCGCATTGCAATGCTAATAGCATTCTTGTGGGTAACCATACTACATCCATTTAAGGTGACCTTCCCCAATCATTCACAATCTCAGTGTTACATGATCAACAGAAACTATGATGTCAGTTAAATACCATCAAAAATATATCATGGGACCGGTGATACTCAGAATAGACTCATTGAAATAAGCAGAGTTAAGTAAAGCTCACTCTACTGTAAAATGGTAATAGTAAAATGATCTGAAGGTACACAAGGCCACCATCTTGCTGATGGTCAGTGTCTGAATGGAGGGTTGACTGGAAACCATATGTGCATCATCATGCATGACCATGCAGTCATAGTACTTCTTAGGATTCCTTTGTATTCAGATGATATATTGCCTACTTTTATGCCCTTTATGAATAAATGTGTTGCGGGTGTATGTGTATGTACACAAACATGCATCTGGGGGGGTGGGGTGTCAAACTGGGTCTTTGCCCTCGGTGACAGAAAGCTTAGTTTCGGCCCCACCTTGTCCCTTCAATTGAGAAATAGCTGAAGGAAACAACGAAGCCTTCTTTGTGGTTGCACCAAAGCATTTTCATTGTTGTTGTTGAAAACATCGCAGTACTCACTTATTTCAGCAAGCACTTCCAGGGCTACAGCTCAGGCTGCTGGTGTTTGGTTTGCTGTGGTCTATTTCTGGGTTTGTTGTCTTTGTCCATGGAATTTTCTTGGCAGGGATACTGGAGTGGCTTGCCGGTTCCTGCTCCAGGTTCTCTTTTGAGAAGAGAAGACGCCCTGGAAAAGACCCTGATGTTGGGAAAGATTGAGGGCACAAGGAGAAGGAGACAACAGAGGACGAGATGGTTGGATAGTGTTCTCGCAGCTACCAGCATGAGTTTGACCAAACTGCGGGAGGCAGTGGAAGACAGGAGTGCCTGGCGTGCTCTGGTCCATGGGGTCACTAAGAGCCGGACACGACTAAACGACTAAACAACAACAAAAATCTGGGTTTTAGACCCGTTGCTTACTATGCTGCTTATTCCCCATCCTGGCCCCTGCCCACTTTATTTTGCGTGTATGGTTTTATTGATATTTCACAGTGTTTTTTATATATTTTACATCACTGGTATTTCAGTGTGAGGATGGCATATATATAAATAAATAAAATAGATCCGGAATGCTCTGCTGCCTCTAAGCAAGTGCCTCTTTCCCTGTAAGAGAATGCTATACTGTAATCTGGCATGTGAAAGAATAGTCTATTTTAATTCTGTTCATCTGCTCTGCAGTCCTCATGTGATCAGCTGTGGGGGCGTACAGAGCTGTCAGAGGGATTGTAGCAGGTTGCGGGATTGTAGGGACCTGGACATACATTAATCAATAATCTTTAAGCCCACATGCAGGTTGAATTGTGTGAGTATAGTACCTTTTTTAAAAAAGTCACAATGATTGCACAAACTACAGTCATAATTGATAGAAAGGCCAGCTCAAACAACTGGTGCTTCACATGCCTGGATAGCTCAGTTGGTTAGAGCGTGGTGCTGGTGATGCCAAGGTTGCAGGTTTGATCACCATGTGAGGCAGCTGCCTATTCCTGCATTGTAGGGGGCTAGACTAGATGATCCATTCCAGTTCTACAGTTCTATTATTCATACTGAATTACAGACCCACTGCATACTCCCACATTCCTGCTCCATTGTAGTCAGGGCAAAAAACAAATTTCGTCAGAGTGAAGACCTTCATAAAATCTACAGAGCCCTTGAAATTAACTGAACATTCCATCACTGAGACACACCTTTCGATATATTGTCCTGAGCAAACTCCTCCTTCCAACCTGCCTGTGGAGGAAGCATTTCTTAAACTTGAGAACTGGGTTACCATACTGTGTGCCTGCCATAAGGCACATAAGTTGAACAAAATCAGGAACAGCATCTTTGGGGCTATGGGCAAAATATCCCATGTTAATGAGTCTCCAGACCTTAGCATTATCACCACTCCCGATTGTCACTGGCTTCTAATAAGATCTTGATCGTGAAAAAGGGACTCCTGGTGTTTGATGCTGCTTGTTTAAAACTTCTAGCTCTTGCAGCCATGTCATTATGGAGCAACCCAAAAGGCAAACGGAGAAGGATCAGGATTTATTCAGTAGTGTGATCTTGCTCAAAATCAAGAGGCTTAAGAATCACAGGCATTCGTTACAAGTGAGTACCCCATATCAACTTCTGTGTGCGACCCCCTAACCACAGAAAACATGTGAGGGCTCTGTCTCAGTCGCTGGAAGCATGCCTGGGAAATGGAAAGAGAAGTCATTGGGCTTCCTCTCCTGCCACCTCTCCTAGTTTGTTTTAAATGCCTGGAGGTGTTTTTAGAGGTTTCACGAGATGCAATGTGTGACCCAGAGACATACAAGTGAGTGAGAAGATTGCCATTGACTTCTAATAAGATCTTGACCATGAAAAAAGGACTCTGGCCAAAGCTAACAGAACCAAAATGTTCATGTAACATTCAAAATTAAATAAAGTATATGAAAAACAAACATTTTCCTAAGCCTAAACCATGATTACAATATATTCTAACTCTGTTCAGTGGCAGCCATTTTGCCTAAATCAAATGTTACATGTTATTTTAAGCAGCTCATAACCAAAGAAATTGTCATTAGTATTTCCCAGTGCTTACCTAAGAAACAATGCCTATGTTTCACATTTTCTTCTTGTATATTTTCCTTTCTAATACAGTATGTGTCTCTTAGAAAATAGCATTACGTTAGGTTATAAAATAGCTACAGCAAGTTAAAAATATGAAGTACCTTAAGTAATGCTCCTTCCCGTGAGACACCCTTTGCTAGTAGTCAGTAATGCAATCAGATATCTAGAGTTATTGCAATTGCCTGCCAAAACATCACTCATGTCTATTAAAGCATCCTGAAAAACGCCATTATATCAATTCCAGCTATGGCATAATTCCTTTTTCTTTCTGGAATGTTGTCTACTATGAGTCTGTCCACTGTAGTGACTGTCTTGTCACTGTGAATATTTTGTAAATCATAATTCAATGGCTGATTGGTGATAGTGGGCAGAAGAGAAGAGGGATTTGTACCTTTCGTAGAAACAACTGTAGTACAGCTGAGTCTGCACCAGCCCAAATCTGTAGTCAGAAGCAGCTTCTTAAAAGGCTTCCAAGGGCAAAGGGTAGAGTAGCTGGAAACACCCATCCCATGATGTTGCTCTCCCATGTTGCTCTGCTGACTGACAATTTATGCTGAATTCAAAAATCATACGTAAAAGAAGCAAAGCTAGCCATGTCTGCCCAGAAGAAAAATTCCAAAAACCAACATTCGGGCAATATTTTTCTTACGCCAACCAAAATGTTACAAAATACTGAGTATACTCCAGAACTGTTCATCAGGCTTATTGGTAAATAGAGGAGGAGGAGGAGAATAATAAATAAATAAATAAATAAATAAATAAATAAATAAATAAATAAATAAATTATTATTATTATTATTATTATTATTATTATTCTGCCCTTCATTCAAAGATCTCAGCAAGCTAAATACAGATCCTTGAAGTTACTCCAAATGACTGTGGGGTGTGTGGGAGGTATAGGCATGGATAGAGTGATTAGAGTCACAGGCTAAATACACACTATCCCATCAAAGCACCCTATTCCTTCAAAGCACATTTGAAGTCCATTCTTTCCCTCAAAGAATTCTGTAGTTTATCTCTCACAGAGGTATAATTCCCATCAACGCTTAACAAACTACAGTGCCCAGAATTCTCTGAGTGCAATGTATATGTTCCAGGCATGATAAGATCAGGCAAAGAGGGAAAGAAAGAAGAGAACAGTTCTGCTTGGCCCATTCCCAGCTGCTATGACAGGCAAGTCACAAATTAACCTTGACATCCATCTCGGTATATGTTTGTACCTTGCTGCTTTTCACACGGGATGGTTACCCTCCTTCCAAGCAGTGTATGGAGGATCCAGCAAAGTCTGCTTCCAGGGTACCACTTTTACTGACTCCCAGATGTTTTCAGCATAGATGCTGCAGATCAGCTGATGCTCCAGCCAACTTCATCTGATTCAGCCTGTGGTCAGTTGGTACCGTAACTAAGTACAGAGGTGTTTAACTTGCTGAAATACTACGTGAGTGTCACAGGATTGGTTCATGTAAACAGCTGCTTAACAAATCCAAATAAATGCCTGATAAACACTACATGGATGGAGCAATTGTGGCCTGTATGTTTTTTCAATGCATTTTAAGTTAAATAGCAGAAATTAGGGATTAGGGCTTCAGGTTCAGAAAAAGAGGAAAGAGAGAGATTGTGCTTTCTTATTAGATGCTGAGATTATCAACAAAGCCCAAAATATGCATCCACTTGGGAGCTTTTGGTATTGCCATTCTATTGCTTTAGAAGTACAGTGGTACCTCGGGTTACATACGCTTCAGGTTACATACGCTTCAGGTTACAAACTCCATTAACCCAGAAATAGTGCTTCAGGTTAAGAACTTTGCTGCAGGATAAGAACAGAAATCGGTCTCCGGTGGCATGGCAGGAGCAGGAGGCCCCATTAGCTTAAGTGGTGCTTCAGGTTAAGAACAGTTTCAGGTTAAGAACGAACCTCTGGAACGAATTAAGTACTTAACCTGAGGTACCACTGTAAAGCAGAACTGCAAAAAAAAGCCTATCCAGGGGGATGTGGAGAGAGACACTACATGCAGAATGGGTTTTGCACACATTCATCTGCACGGGCGTTGACACATTTGCCAACCATTCTTTGTAGAAATCTACATTTCTGTGCCTAGCCAGTCCTTCAAACCAAAAGGATTTCACATTAGCATGGAAGACCTTGTGAACTTTCCAGTGCCTCAATTCCATACTTCACAGCGGCATCAAAATGGCCACCCGTCTGTTGCGTTGCATCCCACTGAATATTTCACCGTGCACGCAGCATAGATTCCTTTTTAGCCGAACACGTATTGAACTTATTAAAGTTAAAGTGAACAGGCAGTTCACTCATACTACCACCCTACACATGGGACAGCTTAATGGCACTGTGATTAATATATGCATAAGTACAACCTGCATTATCAAGAGTAAAAAGCAAGCTAACGACTCGATTGCATATAATTACACACTATCAAAAGGTCCTGTATCCAGCACTAAAGTCAGGGGGAAAGACTTCTACCTTAGCAGAACCTTGGTATAACTTCGCAGTCCTTCCTTCTGAATGTATCACTAATCAGCTTGATGCCCACTTGAAGATTTTTACATTAAAAGAATTTTGGCATGTTTTAAAGGAAATCTAACAGCCACTTTCTCCGTTCATAGCAACTTACAAAGTAACATTTTCTTGGGCTGTCCATGCTAAAACAACTTCACTGATTTCCTTGGAAATGAGTCCTCCCCATTATGTCTCACTACAAATGCAAGAAGTGTGTGTGTGATAGAGGGGGGAGTGCTATCTCATCTTTGCATATTATAGGAAATAGAAGCAGAGCCCCTAGAAAAGAGATTTTGAAGAACTAGTGTTGTATGCAAATATATGGTAATAGATGTCCTTACATTAAAAACAAACTGAGTTGAATAATTGTTGATTTTTCCAGACCCCATGAAAGCCTTTGTAAAATCTCAAGCTCAGCAATTTAATAGAAACATTTTAACATGGAAACTTGAAGAAATGCAACAAAACAAAAAACAAAGTATATGTAACCAGCAGATATAGAGGTATTTTTAACTGTACAGGCACGCTATCATGGATTTACTAGTGACAAT